CAGATGTACACACACTTCCTGGTCCTTCAGACCAACATCAAACATCAGAAAGACTATAAGAAGAATGTGATAGATGAAGAAATGATCCTCAAACTGGGAAAGCTGGCTTTTCAGCAGCTTGTGAAAGGAAACCTGATCTTCTATGATGAAGACCTGAGAGAGTGTGGCATTGATGTGACAGAAGCATCAGTGTACTCAGGATTGTGCACTCAGATCTTCAGAGAGGAGTTGGGCTTGTATCAGGGGAAAGTCTTCAGCTTTGTTCATCTGAGCCTTCAGGAACATCTAGCAGCTCTATATGTGCATCACTCCTTTACAATCAAGAGGAGAAATGTGTTTGACCAAACCAAACAAAGTCTGTTGTCTAAGATTTTTAACCAGATGAAATATAATTCATTATCTGAGCTGCATCAGAGAGCTTTTAAAAAGGCCTTAAAGAGTAAGAATGGACATCTGGATCTTTTCCTGCGTTTTCTTCTGGGTCTCTCAGTGGAGTCCAATCAGACTCTCTTACGAAAACTACTGACACAGACAGGACGCTGCTCCTTCAACAAAGAGGACACAGTTCAGTACATCAAGCAGAAGATCACAGAGAATCGCTCTCCAGAGAAATCCATCAATCTGTTCCATTGTCTGAATGAACTGGGTGATGATTCACTGATGCAGGAGATCCAAGATTATCTGAAATCTGGAGAAATAAGAGAAACCAAACTCTCCTCTTCACAGTGGTCCGCTCTGGTTTATGTGTTGCTGACATCAGAGCAGAAGATGGATGAGTTTGATCTGAAACAGTTTATTGGAGCACAACATACAGCAGATGAAGTTCTTCAGAATCTGTTTCCTGTGGTTAAAGAATCCAGATCAGTTCGGTGAGTAACACTGAAAACAATCACTGCACAAAAAAAAAACATGATCATATTTATGATTTTAGCATGTGCTTTCTTACCAAAGCAACAAAATGGGAAAAATCTCAGAGAAGCACATTTCTGGCAGTGAGCAGGAGAGGTGTGTGAGACACACTTACTAAAGCAGCGGAGGAGGTTTGTGTGTTTCTGTGTGAGAGCTGATGATGAAGAGCTCAGTGTGGAAGATGAAGATGAAGGAATGAATGTGAGGGGGTCAAAACTGACAGCAATGATGTTTATATGTTTGGTTTATTGTCTGTATGAATGACATTTGCATTTGCAAAATTTTCACATTTCATTTCTTTAATCATAGCTGGTGTCAGTTCATCATTCGTGTTCTTTTATCTGCACAGGTTTATTGTGGTGTCACACATGAAGGCTGTGCAGTTTTACATTGATTAATTTTTTTTTAATCTTATTAAGTAAGAAAATACAGGACATAAAACACTCAGCTTGTAAGAAAGTGAAGAAAATGTATAGCCAGGGACAACATTTGGAAAATATATTTTTTAATTATTAAAAATTAATAATAATAATAATAATATACAACATGTATAATATATCATGACCAGTACACAGAATTCAGCAGCTCTGTCCACAAGCCCTGTGCTGGATCTGTCAGAAGAAAGTCCATAAATATAAGTGAAATGTGTCAGTCACGTCATCAGTCCAGCCTTAGAGCCTGATGTAAGCGCTTGCTACAGCCTCTTTTCACCCCAGAAACACCCCTAATTTTGGTGGGAATTTTTTTTAATTTACTTGTATTTTTTACTTCAGTGCTAAGTCATACTAGAGTGGCCTACTAAGCAACCCATTCACAGGGAAGGATAATTCTACTTTAGAGTCTAAGGGGAGAATACATTTACATTTAGTCAATTAGCAGACGCTTTTATCAAAATCGACTTACAAATGAGGACAATAGAAGCAATCAAACCAACAAAAGAGCAACAATATTACAATATGCAGCCCACATAGCAAGTATTATAATTTTTTTCATAATAAATCAAAATAATGAAAAGTAGATAGAATAGAAATAGAATAGAGAGTGCTAGTGTTAGAGGTTCAAGTTTTTTATATATATATTATAAATAGAAGAAAACAAGTAAACAGAATAGAAATAAAATAGAGTGCTAGTGTTAAGGAGCACTACTTAGCGTATTCTCTGAAGCAAGTGACAGAAAGAGCCCTTGAATCACCTTTTTTCTTCACACCTCTTCAGAGAGGAGAGAACACATCCTCCAGCAGCACTGCTGAGCAGCGTCTGGACAGATCCCATGCTCTGCAGAGACTCCCAGGCCTGTCTTGCTTTGCATATGTCCTGCCAAAAGTCACAAGTTGTTCAGCAGAGGCGGTATGATATATGAGATATGACCAAACTTAATTGGTCATATCTGCCTCTACTGCCCACCTAGAAGCCCAGGACAGAAGCTGCCATTTGTTTTTTCAGCAGTAATTATTATTATTACCATTATTATTATCTCATCGCACTGGATTTGAATAAAGCAAGAACAGAGTTTACCATGAATGCAATGTAATGAGTGCATTCAGTGTTTATCTTCCGTGTGCATACAAACAAGCAGCTCCTGAAGATAAAACAGCTGATGATGTACATTGCAGGCTGTTAGATCTCTAAAAAGAAGCACGACACCGTATCTATATCCCAAGGGTTTGCATTTATTCTGAACAGCAACTTCACATGGTTACACTAAACATACCCTTCTTCTTCTTCTCTTTTTAACTCCCCTCATTCGTCCCCCTACTCAGCATCTCTAGCGGCAGCACAAGGAATTACTTGAGACTAAGGATGTCAATGATTAATCAATGATCGATTGATTGTCGATAAGAGATGCAATCGATTAAAGCTATCGATGGTCGATTAAGCAGTTTAATTTTGGGCTGCGTGCAGCTCATGCGCAAAACAGGTGCGAGCGGCTGTGAGCGACGGTGATGGTATATAAATGCATCATCATTCTTTCATAATGTACAAATTAAGCTTTTAATGTGATTTAAACTTTAAAAGTACATTAAAATAGAAACAACACAAAGTTATTCAACATGGAACGCAATAGAAATGTAGTAACTAAGTCATTTCCCCAGATAATTGTTTCATATCGGGCTCTGCGCTTTGCAGGGCTACGGGACACAGGACAGAGATAGGCTAGGCTATTCATTCCTACAACTTGTTAATTCGTTCCTACGACTTATTAATTTGTGGTCACTGCCCATGTTTCATTAATTTTGTTCCTTAAATAACCCATGATTTAACTAAAATGAGGGAACAAATTAAAAAAAAGAAACCTGCAAAATTAGAGGGTTAGACGGTGAGGATTTAGGAAAAGAAACAATGCCTAAATATTATTGAATTTGTGGAAATTTGTGACCAACCGGCAAACCAGAACAAAGCCGCGTAAATTTAGGCTATATGGGCTCGAACGGCATCCAAAAGCATGGTCACGATGTAATATTTTCCAGCTAACCAATTATTCCTCTAATAAACAAAGCTTATACCACACTTGTCATAATCAGAGTTTATAATTTGTAAATAAATAATTGCTGGATTCAAAACAGCAATTAAAAGGCGCTGTGACCGACACTTGACTATACTTATTTATAATACTATATATTTTCCCAGAGCATTCAAGGATGTCACTAAACGGTGATGCCACAACTAAGAGCATCGTTCACAAGTTTCTGCAGGACCTAACTAGCCTAGGCTCAGGTTTTCAAGCCCTGGGACAAAATGGGATGCTTTAAGGAAAATGTATAGCCTATGTAAGCAATACGCCTAAATAAAAATAACAATTTGTTTTCATAAAAAAAAAGCAAAATATATCTGACTTAATTAAGCGAACAGATTTAAAACAGAAGTGTGGCGCGGCGCTCCATAAACAAGTTCACGGAAAGGAAAGGATGACAGCGCGCATTCTGTTTGTTTGCTTTATTTTAAGCACAAATCTTGTGTTTTTATTGTGAGAGTGCAAAAATAAAAGTAAACCCTTTTGCGGATTATATCTTACTCCAAAAATGTAGTTTTTTTTAACGATTCAGCTGTTCGATCACGCCGGCTCCTCGCGCACACACACCCCACATATTCTAGCAATTCAGACTTACTTCGCAGTCTGTTCATTAT